TTGTTATGTTCTTTCAACATTGTTATATATTATTTCATGACTACCAAGTGTTTGTTATGCTCTTTCAACATTGTTATATATTATTTCATGACTACCAAGTGTTTGTTATGCTCTTTCAACATTGTTATATATTATTTCATGACTACCAAGTGTTTGTTATCTTCTTTCAACATTGTTTTGTACTGTTTCATGTGTTTGTTATCTTCTTTCAACATTGTTTTATACTGTTTCATGACTACCATGTGTTTGTTATCTTCTTTCAACATTGTTTCGTGTTTCAGTTTTAATTTTTACTTCATGACATTGTTTAACACTTTGTTTATGTGAAAATGAAATTCTGTTTATAAAATCCTCTCTTCCTTAATGATGACTAACAATAACTATTGTTGTTTTACAGTTTAGCATAGAGTATTGTTTAAAAATTCATAGTAAGTGATTTATCAGAGTTTTAGAATTACTAGTTTGTTTTAACATTCTAAATATAGCTTAATTAACCCTTTTATAAGAATATGTCATTAGTGACGAAAGTGTTTAAAATTTCGTTGTGATGGTCGAAATTGTTTAAAAACTTACAAAGATAGTTGTTATGCCCATTTTCTGCTCTATCTCTTTCCACAGCTCTACCGGACATGGAGATGCCCCAACAAGTGCTAAAAATAATAAAGTTGTTACAAGTAACTAATAAACTGTAAGTAATTACAAAACAAGGTTATCATAGAGTTCGAGTATTAAGTGTTTTCCTGGGATATTAAAAATTGAAGCCTTCGTCTAAACAGGTCTAGACCTGTTACAATGAAAGAAGGAGAATGGTTGTTTGGAAGTGTCAAAGTTAAGAACTTATTAAAACAAATGTACTAGAATTGTGACTTTTTTAAATGAAGAAACTCATTCTAGAATTATTGAATTTGTATTCTTGGTAAAACTACTAATGATCGTCTCTAATATTGAGCCACAGAACAGAGTGAAGGCAGCCAGTCAGAAACACCCTACCATTAAACATCCATACATATTATTTAACTGTCACTCTTATAACGCACTCACAGCTTGAAATTAATGGGATATTTTGTGGTAATGCACCAATACGAATCCTGCTCGTCAGCTACAAAATCAAAAGCTACATCCCAGTATCATCTCGCGTCTATTACAAATAAAATTCAATACAACACACTAACTACTCACCGCCTTGGAGACTGGTTAGATCAAACTTATCAACATCCGGGTGATTAACAATGTCAATAAACATGGTGGGCGTTCCCATAACAAGAGTGCATCTAAGAATAAGATAACAACTTCTGTTAAAAAGTGTTTTAATGATGAAATCTAACAAGACAAGAATGAATGATAAATAATAGGTGTTGTCATGTTGGGTCGTCTAGCCAGAAGACAAGAATGACTGATACAGATTTGGTGTTGTCATGTTATATGTTAAACTTGCAATAAAGAATTACAAGTAGGAAGTAAGATTGTTAGTAAAAAGTGGATGAGAAGGTGTGTTAAAAAGTTTAACATTGTTGAAAACAATGAGTCAACCAACACTAATAACAATATGAACAATGGAGAAAAGAAGGGAAAGAGATCTAAACAATGACAATAGAGATTACAAAACTGAACAACACTTAGTTATAACAACCCAAAGTCTCCATCTTGATACTAATGGATATAAAGGATAGATAGCCAGCCTAAAAATACATTTTATCAGTGAGTACCTAGTTTAACGTTATCTTACGATTCCTGGTAAAAGCTAGTGTTTTGTTAATCTCAATCATAGACAAATAATGAACATTAAGGAATCACTTATCATAGAAAAATATAAACCAATAATAAATATTAAGGAATCACTTTTCATTGAAAAATATAAACCAATAATGAACAATAGGAATCACTTATCATAGAAAAATATAAACTAATAATGAACAATAGGAATCAGTTTTCATTAAAAATATAAATTAATAATGAACATTAAAAAAATCACTTATCATAGAAAAATATAAACTAATAATGAACAATAGAAATTAATTATTATAGAAAAATATAAAATAATAATGAACAGTAAGAATTAATTATCATAGAAAAATATAAATTAATAATGAACAATAGGAATCAATTATCATAGAAAAATATAAACTAATAATGAACAATAGGAATCAATTATCATAGAAGAATATAAACTAATAATGAACAATAGGAATCAATTATCATAGAAAAATATAAACTAATAATGAACAATAGGAATCAATTATCATAGAAAAATATAAACTAATAATGAACAATAGGAATCAATTATCATAGAAAAATATAAACTAATAATGAACAATAGAAATTAATTATCATAGAAAAATATAAACTAATAATGAACAATAGGAATCATTTATCATAGAAAAATATAAACTAATAATGAACAATAGGAATCATTTATCATAGAAAAATATAAACTAATAATGAACAATAGGAATCAATTATCATAGAAAAATATAAACTAATAATGAACAATAGGAATCAATTATCATAGAAAAATATAAGCCAATAATGAACAAATATAATGGATGTCCACTATTTAAATCTTATTAAGGTTTTTTATGATAACATTACTTACTGATGCCTTCCTCTTTCTTTGTCAGATATTCTTTATTAATTGAATAATAACGTTTATATTATAGTGTTTCGTATGTGTCACGGGGTTTGTAATGGTAGGAATGATCACGAGCACGATATACACTTGTGTGTGGTTCAATCCTTAAAATACTACGGTCTTAACCTGAGTGATATTCTTTCTTATACAAATTGTATGCTCCTAATGAAAAACAACCTTGATAGATTTTCTGGAGTTTACGGTCATTTCTTCCTAATTATGTTAGCATAAAAGATCTAACATTCCTATGACAACGTAGACTAACATGTTTGTTTGTTTTAGAGCAAACCTACATCGGAGTATCTGCTGTGTCCGCCTCAGGGAATCTAACCCCTGATTTTACCGTTGTAAGCCCTTAAACTTATTGCTGTCCCACCGGAAGACTGTTCTACTTGACTGGGTATTTCTTGAATTTCCGAAAGGTGACTATACTTAACTAAGATGATGTGCAAAATAAAAGGATTTTGTGGCATTCCCACGAAGTATGTCGATCTAACAGGCTATATTTTAAAAGATGAGCATTTTTTTCATTCCCACGTGGAGCAAACTGGTTTAACAAAAATACAGTTGTTCAGTGAACACAGTGGATATTAACTGTAAAACTTATAAACATTTGTTATAGAAAATGTGTTACTTTTTGGTATCGTACGTTAAAGGTATTAAGATGCCACTAATCACATGTATGGAGGATATTTCATTGTTAACAGTCTGTGTAGATGATCAATGAAAGATACTTTATTTATGGACTTTACCTTTCTTTTTCGATAGCTTTCAACGTCGCCAGAGGGTCAAAATGAGGCGAAGGAAACACCGCCAGTTTCCGGTGAATAATTGTTGTAATAACACCACCGACAGAACCGAATGCATGAAACAATG